TCTTTTCTAACTATGCTCCAAAATATGAGCTTAACAGTTTTGTTTCGATGGCATTTACCGGTTTTCAGACCTCCCCAAAGTTAAAGGCTTTTCTGGCCACCTTTGCTGTTTCAGTTCGATTTTTGCCAATGGTGCCTCATCTGTATGATCCAGCAAGCATGTAAATACGTTAGGTCAAGTTCATTGCCTTATTTAATGTTTTTCGAGCTGAAAATAACTAGAATATTAAAATTCACAAGGTTTGGACGGTTACTAGAGGGTTGAAGGGCGAGAGGGAGGCCGAAAACAACCTAGAGAAGGACGGTTGAGAAAGAAAGAAGCAAGGCAGGTTGGAAGAGCTGAAATATATTTTAGGTAACGTGACGGCTTGCTCGTAAAAGAGGGGGTGTTTTGTGTTATGCGGTTGGGGGCGTCATGGCGGGGGCGTTATGACGGGTTCCTAAAGAGATGATGAAGATGATGACGATGATGATCAAGGAAAACAAGAAAGGTAGAACGCACCGTGACTATAGTGCTGTTACTAGTTACAGTCGGTGAAGGCACCTCCTCACAAGTGCTATCATATCCATGTGCAAGTGTACAATGAGTCGGCAGAATATTGCAGTTCAAAGCCCCAATATAAGCTAACCCACAATTAACGAGAATTTTGATTCCAGTTTTGTATTTTTTCGGTGCCGATTCCTGTCTTTATTTTTGGCCCATTTTATACAGGAAAAATTGATATTTCGGTTAACTTTTAAAGTTAAACGGCTTTCGGACATACCTGCCCTGACTCCTGAAACACAGCTACGTTTGTATGGCTAAATTTGAAAGATTTCTTGTTGTTCATTCGCTCTAAAACTTGGCTTGTCATTATTTTATTTTACATAAATTGGCGTTTTTACGTTTTATTCACGTGACCTTAACCCTTTCAAACTTTTTTTGTGTTGCTGTTTCGAGGTGTTCAGTTACCAACAGCTTTTGCGCAAGACAAGAAAAGAGAAGTAGGGAGTATCATATATGGTTTTTAAGAAGAGAATATGGTATTTTCAATTTCGACAAGATTTCCATTGTCAGGTGACCCCCTCCTTCCCCCCCCCCCCCCCCCCCCCCCC